GTACAATGTTATTATTGTATTATATTATTATTATTATTATTACTACTACTACTATCATTCTATTTCATTTTACTTCAATTATTAAACTGTTCTTATCTCAACCCAGGAGTTTTCTGACTTTCACCCTTCCAATTCTCTCCCCCCACCCCACTGGGGGGGAGCGAGTGAGCGGCTGTGTGGTGCATAGTTGCAAGCTGGGATTAAACTACAACACAAATGATCACTCTAAATGCTGACTGTAAGTCTCAAGAACTAGAAGTAAACGATTCTGCTTCTTGTTTCGCCATGACAACCTTATAAACTTTATTACTTTATTGCTGACCCTTGTGCACGGAGAGACTTCCACAGTACTCTGGGACATCCCTTCAGGATGGACATAATGGTAATCAGATCTGCTTCTGAGGCAAAGCTGACTTTGCTAAAATAAGCCCAAAGCTTTTGCTTGAGATAAAGCTATAGATATGTTCTCATCAATACTACAGATTAAAGAACTGAGGAAGAAACAATCTTCCCCCTCCCCCAACAATTTTTAAGGTTAACAATGTTTTGATAACAAAGATAGGAGAAGAAGGCAGTTCAGTCTTGCAGTGCAGTGACAGGATAACATCACAGTGAGGAACTCAAAACACTGAGCTGAAGGTTGCGTGCAAACAGATGTAGCAAAACCTTCCTTTTCTGCCTTGCCAATACACATTAGTCTTGATGTGCTTTATCTCCCGAGTTTTAATTTTAGAGGTCATCTGAACAGAGGCTTGTGAACCCTGTTAAATTGTGTAGTGACTTTGGAATAATTCCTTTGAGATGACCATCCTATTTCTTGCGAATCTTTGTGAAAATACTTTTTTCTACCTATTTTTGTCTCCTTCAATTTGATGGCATTGCTGACGAGGCCAGCAAGACTCTGACCTACTATAAGAATCGGTCAAGTACTAGGAAGTGCTCATAAGTTCCACTGCTTTTTATCTGTTTTAAAGAGAGAGTTTGAGGGACTGAATGGCTCAGGAGATCCGTGATGAATTTCTACCTCTAAACAGTGTATTTGATTCTAGTTACTCAATCTTTCTCCTCCTCTTCTCAACTGAATTTGTTTGAATATGATATGGTGCTGTTCTTGCATCCTCCTCTCTCTCTGTTAATCTAGACGTGCTTGGATATTAGCTTCATTTTCTCAAAGAACTCAGCTATCACATGTATGCTAGAGGCATACAACTCTCATATTTCTTGCATCTTTTGGATTTTAGTAGCAAACATGTAACCCTCATTATTCATTGTTCTTTTAACATTTTCTGTGATCACAACACAAACTTAAACTTCTTCTTCTATCCTCTTCAGAGCTGACAAATCCTGCAAATAATGTATACAATATGTATACATATATGCATATGCACAAACCAATTACAATTGTAATGATAGCACCCTTACTAGAGTTTGCCACCACTAGATTGTCTCTGTAATAGACACAGTGATGTCAGACTACCTACAGTCTGTTATGCTATGAAAAAGCAAAGGCAACGTGGGTCAGAGCTGAAGCCACTCCTCTGCCACAGTCATCTGAAAATTCAACAGCACGGTGGAAAGCTTGTTCTACACTCTAGAGGAACAAAACCTTACCCTCTGCAGGGTGAGGCTTCCTGAAGCATCTGATATTGACTTGCAACAGACTTGAAATGGCAGCAGAAAGTTGGCTGTACCCTGACTACCAGAGAAACAATGCAAATAGTATTTTTTGTCTTCAAACGAGCACTATGCAGTCAATAAGCTTGTTCAGCAAACTCATGATTAGCATCAGTTCGAGAGATGAAGGCTGATGTGTTAAATGAAATTACTGGGAATAAATCGTTTGCATCTAGAAAAGATGTCAAGCAATGGAGGGACAGAAATTACTCTCCCGTTCAGAAAAGAGATC